CTTCATAGAAATGGGACATCCTTCTTTACATTCCCTTGATTTTTGTCAGACTTTCCATTGCTGAATTACAAAATCTTCTATTCTGATTTAGAGACTCCTAACTCAGAGGATAAAGTCCATACTTGACTGCCATCCTGACAGAAATGGTAGGATGAAAGGGCATGGAAGAGGAAAGCTGTGTAACCCATGGCAGCCAGAAAGAACCACAGCGAAACAGCACCAGAAAGGAAGGGGCCAGGAACCACACATTGTATCCCAGGTTATGTCTCTATGATTTTCCCAGAAACATACAGAGGTGTGCTTTCTTAATCCTATAGGTTTGCCCAAGCCAATCAAATTGATGCAACTGAGCACCACATTTCACCTCTTGTCAGTTTGACACCCAAACACATATGCTTAAAGCATACTTAATCTCTAGATAATCAGAAAGTCTGAGTTGCACATAACATGATAAAGTATGTTGAATATAATAAAAAGTGGAATAATCTTTTCCCAAAAATATTAAAAGTTTCAGCATTTTTCAAAAGTACAAGTCCAAATCTCTTCTGAGATTCCAGACAAACTCAGCAGCAAACATCTATAAAAATTAAAAAGCAAGTTATATTGTCCAACGGTACCGTGCCACTGGGTAAACACTTCTATTCAAAAGAAAATAATAGAGAGCTAAAAGAGAATCAGACCAATACCCAGCAGGGCAAACATTAAATGCTTGTAGCTCCATAACTGTCATGGAGGGCACAGAGTGATAATGTGTGTGCTCCTGAAGGCTTGAGCAATCCCTCCACAATAGCTTTGGTGTTTCACCTCCACATGACCGCTCTCTCGGGCTAACCCCACTCGTGCTATGCAGCTTTCCTGGGCAACCATCCCACCCATTGCCCTCTGAAGTTTCACTGTACTTCTGCTTCCTCCTTACAACTTTCTGCACTGTCTTCTAGAAGCTCCTTGCCTAGCCTCCTGGGTCTTCTTTTGAAATCTGTATGAAAGCTTCCCTAACATCACAGTTCTTACACATCACATATTGGTAAAACTAGCTTTTATTTTTTTTGAGACTGCCAAATAATACTGTTAGGATGAGCAGTACCTATAACCATTTACAACTTGGCTTTAGTGATTTCTAACTGTCTGAATGGGTGAACATGGGAAAGTGAGCTCTGGAAAATGAATTTCCTAGGTGTCATCTTCAAAGCAGAGGTAATAGACATTCTCTTTTCAAAAATAAGGTTTTAACATTTGTGCACTTGAGCCTGCATTGGGTAGTGTCTTGCTAATTCTTGAGATGTCCTCAAGTTATCTATAGTGTTTGTGTCTGTACAAAGTGTTAGCTTTTTCTTTAGCAGCCATGCCTCTTTTCACCCATATTTCACACATAATTCCTTTTGAGCTATAATTTAAGTTCCATAAATATTTTTGTTCTGCTTTTGGCCTCAGATTCACGATGTCTAAAAAGCCATGCTGCAGCCTGAATGCTAGGCCGCCTTGACATTTGTTCAAATGAGTCTGCTACCTTTAATGTCAGTCTCCTATAAATTCTCATTACAAGGGAACAAGTTAGATACTTTTTTTCCAGATTGTAACATATGAGGTCTCTGTTTCCATTGTCAATGGAACAGAAACCCCCTGAATTTAATGATTAATATCTGTGTTTCCATCAACAGTCTTGTTCTCTGAGTCCCAACCGGAATCATTCATGAAACTCTTCTAAGACTCTTATAGTCCACATATACAAAGTTCCCAAACTCTTTCCACAACCCAGTTTCAAGGTCTTCTATATTATATGGTCAGATACAATCACAGCAATCATTTCAATTCCAGTATAAATTTTTCTGTATTAACATTTCCACCATTCTGTTCAAAATAATTTAAATGAGCAGCTTATTTTGACTCTTGTCTTCAAGGATCTGTTCAACGTTTGACCAACTCCAAATCAAAGTGGTACTATAGAAAGGCATAGCGAAGAAATACAATTCATCTCAAGGATGCCATAAACAGACTAAAAGAACAGCATTAAACTTGAAGGGATCATGGGCCAGTGTGCATCACACAAAGTCATGCCTCTGTAACCCAAGTAGACACACTAAGAGGTTTGATTTTCTAATCCCATAGGCAGCTCCCAAGTCAATCAAGTTAACACAAACAAGTTTAACCATCACACCTTGAATATCAAAATTCCAGGGTTAGTATGACATAAGGAGATGTGTTTGGTTGGCAAGTTGAGAGCGTACAATCTATGATCTTTAAGCGCTTGTCAAATCAATAGAATTGGTAAATGATTATGTTAGTAAAGCACAATCTTTATGGTGTCTGTGTTCCCACAGATGACTGATATGTAGTTCAGCAAGTTAACAAGTGAAAATTCACCTTAATTGCAGGTAGAACAAGTCCAATAGACTTGCAATCCAGATACAATGCAAGAGGAAGAAGGAAGAATGAGTCTGGATCTCTAAAGTCCCATTACACTGGAACAGGCATACATATCTTCAAATTTTCCATTATGTTCCAACATCAGGCTAACGTGTCTTTCGCCTTTCAGTGAAAACTCATACATAGTGTCACATACTGACTCTCTAGGAAGCTCCAAACTTCAGTCTTGTACTGCTGTTGCATTTGTAATTCATCTTTTACTACAGTTTTCATTGTCTTAAATAAAAAAGAACTTCTGAATCTAGTAGTTTTTCATCACGCAGCTAGTGATTGTGATCTATTGTGCCTCTGATGATTTGAATGTATATAACTCTCTCTTGTCTCTACATATATATTTCCATGCATTTGATATATTTTTTTTATACAATATATTATATAAGTATATTATATTACGTATAGTATATTTATTTCTCATGCAATATGTTATGTATGCAAAATATATATATAATATATGATATTATATATTATTATATAATATCATATATTATATAGTATATATATTATATAGTATATGTAATATAATATAATTATAGTATATATAAATACCATGTAATATTTTATATAATAAAATATCATATAATTATTAATGTTAATAATATATAATTAATACATAATATACAATAAATTAACTCATAGTATAATTAATATTCATAATATATTACACTATATATACAGTTTATATATTTCTCATACAATATATATATATATTATATTATATACATATTATATGTTGTATAAAGTATACTCTATATAATATGTAATATACAATATATGATAATTTCATTATATATGATTTTATAGATAATATATGTAATATACATATTACATATAGTAATTTTATTATATTTATTATATTATATAAATAGATATTATTTTATACATCTATATTATATATAATATACAAGCCTTGTATTGTATATACATATATTACATTTTATACATGTTATATTTATTATATATTATATGTTTTATATTATATTATATAATATATAAACATATACAATATATAATAATTATGCTATATAATATGTAATATATTATATAATATATATTTAGAATTATAACATATAACATTATATAAAATATAATTATTGTATATTGTATAATGTAAAAACATTATATATAATACATAATATATTATGCATTATATACACATTCATATATGTATTATATATAACATATATAATATATAAGAAAAATATATCTACAACATGAAAAATATATATTTATATAATATATTATATACATATATGACATGGGCAAATGTGTATGTACACATGCAGAGCAGAACCTCTGATCACAAACTTAATTTTTTCCAGGATTTTGAAAAACATGAACACATAAATGTTTATAAAAATGATGGCTGTGGTTGTTTGTCTCCTGATGCAGAGTTTGCAAACAAAAACAAAATCTTGCCTAAACACTTCTGTTTGTGAACCAAATTGTTGCAAACAAAAGCATTTGTGAACATATGTACCATTTTATAGCTCCTCTGGAAAACCTTAAAAACTACACATTGCACTTATAGTGTATTAGCAGTATAAGTGTCACTAAATGTTTTAAAAATTATGGAATAATAAGTATAGATTGTATGCAAATAGCATCATTTTATGAAAGGAACATGAGCATATGCTTTTTGGGGATGTTTTGAAGAATTCTGAAACCATTCCTCCATGGTAGCAAGTCATTATCTATCTATCATGTATCTATCTATCTATCTATCTATAGATAAATCCATCTCTCCTATTACGGTTTAAATATGGAATTTACTTAAAATGTTGGAACATTGAATGCTTAATCTCCACCTCACCAGTGATCAGAGATGGCTGCAAGTGACTGAATCTCGTAAGAACTTTTAACTTTACCAGTAGGTGAATCACTGATGATACCATAATTTGATGACATTATTGGGAGTGATGGGATTAGAATGTGGAGCCTCCTTGAATAGAGCTTGTTATGAAAGAAAAAAATGAGTTCTAGAACTTCATCCTGTCTCTAGCCCCATCCCTTTGAAGCTCTTGCCTTTTCCGCTTCCTGACTGTCATAAAATGAGCAACCTTCCTCTGCCATACTGTTCTGCCATTTTTTTTTTTTTTTACTTCACATAGGCCTAAAAGCAACAATACTGGACAGTCATGGACAGAAGCATTTGGAAGTATATCAAAGTAAATATTTCCTACTTCAAATAGACTCTCTTAGATATTTTGTCACAGCAATCAAAAACTGACACAGATTTATCTACTGGCATGCTGTTAGGAGGTAGGGTCTGTTCAGACGTGCGCCACTGGGGTGTGTGAGCTAGAATAGTATGCTCTCATTTTTGCCTCTTTCCTTCTCTCTCTGCTTCCTGATGCCATTGTTTGGGGACCTTTTCCTCTGCCATGCCCTCTGCCATCCTGTGCTGCCTTGGAGTCAAGCAGACGTAGGCTGAGACCATGAGCCAAAATAAACCTCTCTGACCTCTCTGTTAAGCTGTATCAGCTATTATCTCAGTGATAGAAAAGCAACTAAGTGCCATGTGTCGCTGATATTACAGGAATACAAAATGTAGGAATTATATTCAAGGAAGTTCTTACCACGATTTTGAAAGGCACGGTGGGTAAGGCAGTGTGTGTCAGGGTTCCTACCCTTACAGCGGTTTCTCATTGACTATGCAGGAAGCTGTGAGAGTGAAACTGAAGCTCCACTGAAGACCAGGAAGTTAGAATGCCAGGAATGTGCAATGTCTGCCAAGAAAAGCAGCAGCCTTTTCACAAAACCAGCTGAAGAAAGAGACCTGTAGACAGCATCTAACAATGTAGGGGCACCATTGTCCAAGGCTTTTAAAGCACACGTCATGCAACCTTGTGACCTGGATCCTGGACATGTACCTAAAGGATTTAGTGTTTTCTTTGCTGGGTTTCTGTCTCCCTTCATTCTGATTACTCCTTGCTCTTCTCTGATTTCTCCTTTTATAATGGGAATACTTACCCTGACACTTTATGGTTTAGAAATTAGAAGTATGTAACTTGCTTCTTGATTTTCTATGGTAGCTTACAACTAAGAGTTTGCCTTGAGTGTCAGAGAATAATTTGGCTTTGGACTTCGAAGTTAACCGAAAATTGTTAAGGCTTTGGCAAGTCTTGAACAAAGACTACATGCATTTTGCATAATGATATGACAGGAGATTTTAAAACCAGAGATGACATGTTATGGTTTGGTTATGTTATACCTCCCCAAATGTCCTTATATTGAAGCCTTGTTTACTGATGGGGATTGTAGAGGTGATTCGGTCATGAGGGCTTTAACCTCATCAGTGAGTTAATCAACTATTAATATCATGGTATTATTGGGAGATGATCAAAGCAGAAGATGAGGCTTGTTAAACAGAGTGAATCAGAAGGGCATGAGACTGAGGGCTATGTCTAGTCCCTGGACAGTTTCCTTCTGGTTCTCAGGTACTCTCTCTGTTTCATAGCTGCCATGAAGTAGCAACATCCCTCTGCCAGATCTTTTACTAGAATGTTTTGCCTCCACTCAGATGTGTGTAACAAAACTAGCCAACTGTGAGTTGAAACTTTTGAAACTTTGAGACAAAAATTATCTTTCCTCTCGGAGATTTTATTTTGTTTTTGTAGATATTTGGTCATAGTAATGAAACCTGACTATCACACTTTATTGGTTCTTTCTTTCTGTAAAACTCTGACTGGTATGCATTACTTTAACTGGTGTTTCTGTGCAACAGAAACTCAATTTCTATTTTGAATTGTACAATAATATTTTAAAAATCTCACATAGATGTCTTGCATCACAAAATTGATATGACTTACCCAAAGAATACTTCATAGTCACCATCTATTATTATTTTATATTTCAGTAAATGATAGTGACCAAGTTGCTGGATTTATATGTCTAGAAGTTTGGTTTATATCTCTATTGACACCTCATAAATGACGCATTACAGACTTTAATCAGGTTTACTTTAAAAATATGTTACACTCTATCCACTACCTCTCTTCATATCTCCAACTTCATCTATGGCAATGTAGCTCTATCTATTGTACTCAATACTCACATTTTAATTTCTAACTTTCCTTTCTCTCTCTGGTTCGGTAACATGCTCTTGATCCACCGAATGTCACTGAGGTTTTTAGCATACAGAAATCAAGTTGAGTAATTTGTTTTCTTAAAAAAAAATGAGTAAAGCAAACTTTTTCATAATAAATAAAGAAAGCACTGTTTTTTTGTGCAGCAATGTAAATTATTATCGCAACTCCCAGGACTGTATCATTTTGTGGATTTCCATATGTCTATATCTTCATTTCACTCCATGATGTCTCCATCCTCAGACAGTGTGGCCACTATTTAATTCACTTTTTTCCTAGTATAACATGTTTTATTCTTATTTAGTTCTCTCTTCCTAAAAAGTCCAATTGTAGAAACTTATTATTTAACAAGGCTTTCATTTCCTTTAGAATTCAGTTATATTCTATAGCACATTTGTTTTAATTTCTTCATAGTTTTGAGCCAAATGTAAAATTATATTATATTTTTGGGTTAAATATCTGCCTTAATTACTAAAATCTGAACCTAAAGTATCCATTTATTTTTATTCATTAAAATTGTGGAACCTAGATTATGTGCAACATGGAAGATACTATGTTTAGTGCATTTTTAAATAGTTGATAGAATATTGAAATTCCAAAGGATATTTCTACATTTAGACTTACCACATTTTATTAAAATTCAAATTTTTTCATTTTATTTGTAATAGAATTTTGATTTACTCCCTAGGAAGTGTGTTATCTATACCAGTTTCCATTATGTTCTGCATAGTAAACTCAATGATAATTTGAATTTTCTGAGGTTAACCAATTTGATTATTTAAAATGTTACAGTGATACCAGAATTGATGTTGATGTGTAGACATGGTACAATTTGATTACTAAGCAAGTTATACAATACTATGTGTTCCAAGTTCATTTAATCAAGAGAGTTTCAACTATTATTGGTTAGTATTTAAAGATGAAATAATATTGTAAACATCGTTGACCAGAGAATCAGAAGGAATTTTAGATGAAACAAATGATAAAAGAATCAGAATAAATAGGACCAATTAGAACACAGTTTTGAGGATTCATATTTCTTTTTAAACTAAAAGTAAACATTTCTTTTTGAAATTCAGTAACTAGCATACTATAAATATGGATTACAAAATGCTATGTACTAATTTGAATTATAGTATTGAAAGTACATTTAAAATAAAATACAAGTGCTAAATAGACACCAAATAATTATTGGAGAAATACTGTTTAAATAAGGAAAATATCAATTCTTTTCTTAAATTAAGGAACATGAAACTTAACTACTTATGGACATCTATGCCTTTAATTACACATTTCACTTTTAAATTGGTATAAATTGTGTGAAAGGCCCCAAGCAATGTTTGTCATAAATATGAGATCCACATAATATTTCAGAATATTTCTATAAAACTAAGAATTAGAGTTCATATCTTCCATTAACACTGTGGAGATTTATTGTAGCTGTCATTTATCAACTTGAGAGATATTTGAAGTAGAACACTATTTTGGCTCATGCTTTGGTATTATTTTAAGATTCCTGTTCTGTTCATGTGTTGGATGTGATAATGTACTTTTGGCAGCCTATTAAAATGCTTCCAGAGATACATATACTCTGATCTTTGCAGAAGTTTTAGAAAATAAATAGACCAGGCTTCAGTGAGTAAATAGGGAATATGCTATGTAGTAAGTTTTTCCTCTTTGATAGCTTTTTTGTTTTATGGACTAAAATTTTAAAAAACGTAGTTATACTCTAAATAATTGCACATCACCTGTCAACTACCTATTCTTTCCTCTTGGCCATATTAAGGTTGTTGTTGTATACAACAAGTCTTCACACCATAGTGTATACCAGGACCTGTGGCCAGTTTCAGTATCTAGAAGCAGAACAACTTCAGGCTTATGTCCATGAATTAAATATGCATTAAATAATATTGAATGAGTTTTAAGAAGAATTGCTGTTAAAAGTCTTGCTCTGTGTGTAAATACAAGTGCACAATAGCACATATGTTATTGACCAGTATGTACTATGAGACTTCCCTTGTCCTCCATTATGAAGGGAAGTTAGTGTTACACTATCTCATTGCATATTTATTGGATATATATTGATTGTAACGTGGGCCAAGATGTTGTTTTTAACTCACAGAGGAAGCTCACAGGAAGTGTACTATGAAGACACAGCTGAGATTCTGTATACTATAGAGCTAGGGCTAGGGCTGTGTGTTATTTTATCTTCAATGGGAAGGGTAGAGTATGTGTTTGATGGAGAAAAGGTTAGAAAACAACTTTAGACTGTGACAGTTGTTATTTTATGTTGTTCTTGTTTAAACAGAAATATATTTCTTACCTTCATTTTAGTTGGATATGCTTATCAATTCTAGTTATGAAATGTGAATGATATTAATGTACAGATTTTCCAGACTGCAAAATACATTCATCAAGCCTTTTTTTTACTTTTGAAGAGAGAGTAATAAAATGGGCAGAGTTATCTTAAATTCATATGTTGCACAAAATCTTGTTTTCAAAAGTCTTGAGCTCCTGGGTGTATATACTGCAATGTTACCTGGCTGAATTATCACCTACTACTTTTACAGAAAAACTAAAAGTCTATGTTTGGACTTTCACATAGTTAAGACATGTTTATGACAACTAGTTTTATCCTTATTCTTTAGGCACTAAAAATAAAGGATAAACTCCAAGTAATGTATTACGCAGGTAACAGTCATTAAACACGTATTTAATCTTAATTCTTAAGAATTATTTTAACTTTTTTGCTTTTGTCTTTTTGAGACAAGGATTCACCTATGTAGATCAGGCTGGCCTTGAGCTCACTTTGTAGACCAGGCTGGCCTTAAACTTGCAACAATCCTACTGTCTCAGCCCCCTAAGTACTGAGATTATGGGGTACATTATCACACTAGTGATATTAATAAATAATAAGCTATCGTTAAGCACTATTATCAAAAGGATATGATCAAATATCACATAGATAATCCATTTTGCTGAAAGTAAAATATAGATATGAATTGTAACACTCATACAAAATCAGAATTATCTAGTAAAATGAAGAAAAACAAAAATCATATATTGTTAATTATATGCTGAACAACTCATCTAGTATAATTTTTCTCATTTGACGAACTTTTTAAAAGCATTTATTCTGGATAACTACACATCAGGGTGCCCTAGAGGAATCTTTTTATTTATTTTTTTTAACACTTTAAAGTATTTTATTATACCAGGCATGGTGGTGCACTCCTGTAATCCCAGCACTTGGGAGGCAAGTGGATTGTTTAAACTTTGCGACCACCCTGTGCTACCAAGTGAGCCCAAGGATAACCTGAACTGCATAACAATACTCTGTCTCAAAAAGACAAAAAAAGGTATATTTTACTAGTGTCTATTAATTTTCAAAGTATTTACTTTTGATGTGGTATGTTCATACATGCATATACTTTCATAGCATTCAAACGTCCAGTGCCCTCCCCCGTATGTCGTTTGTCCTTTTTATGCCCCTTGTCTTCTCTAATAACAGTTTTCTTTCTATTTTCATTTCATCTTTGTAGATTCCACAAATTAGAA